CCCAGGTGGCCAGGCAAGAACTACCCGTGACTGGGTGGACTACAGAAGTGACCGGCTGCATGTTCAGAAGGGAAAGTGGGCAGGATTTGCTGATGTATGGATGTGGGAGAGACCAGACTGTAAATGAGGTCTTGGCCTGGACTGACCTGCTGAATTCTCACTTAATGTCAAATTCTCAGCTCAAAGGCTGCTCCTAAGGGAGGCCATCCCCGGCACCTCCGAAAGAAGAGCAGTGTCGCCAGACCTATAGGCTCCATTTTTTGCCGGCACTGAGTATTGTGAACCACTTGGGTATTTGTTTGGATGAGGCAATAAAACCCACTGGGTGGCTAGGCATGGTGGCGCATGTCTGTAATCCCAGTACACTAGGAGGCTGAGGCAGGAGGATCACAATTTCAAGTCTAGACTCGGTAATTTAGTGAGACCCTGTCTTGAAAAATAAATAGGCTGGAGGTGTAGCCTAGTACAAAGGTCCTGGTCAATCCCCATTACTGCAGACAAAAACAAAAAACCCTGCTGGGAGCCAGAGACACTATTCTGCTCTCACTTATTTTACGCCCCCATAATGGAATGTTTATACTCAACCTGTGGCTAACAATCACACCCAAGAAGTTAGCTCCCTTTGGCCCACAAGGAAACTGAGGCTCAAGAAGTTTCTATCATCTGCTCAGTGTCACAGTGCTAGGAATGGACAAGCTGGGATTTGAACCTGAGTCCTGCCCTGTACTAAGTTTCTGCTGCCGCTTCAAATAGGACGAAAGAAGGGGCTGCATGCCTGGTGAAGAGGAGAAATCATTTAAAGGAGACAAATAGGAAAGGTTGGGACAAGTTCCTAAGTGTATGCTAGTTACATGTAAAAAATGTAGGCCTAAGTTTATAAATTTTTTGTTGACTTACACTAGAGCCATCACCCACTACTTCCCTTAAGCAGGAGACAAACTAGGAAGGAACAATTCAGGTTAGTGCAAAAACAAAAATGAGGAACTGTTTTTTACGTTAGTACAGTAATAAAATTAAAAATAAAATTCTCCCTAATCACCACCAGTTCTCCTGAAATTGTAAGCCTGATTTCAATGTCTTGGCTAATTTTCTTCATCCTATTTTTCAGCTCAAGATTATATACTTGAGTGATGATGGGATTAATGCTGGCCTCCTGCTCTAGACTGGAAGCTCCATGAGGGCAAGGTGTGTATGTGTTTTGCTCATGCAAGGTCACCAGGACAATCAGTGGATGTCCAGATTGTAACTGTTGCATAAAGGGACACTGTCCTTGTCATCCTTGACTTTTTAGGTAACACACAGTATATAATATTAGAAAACCAGTGAGGTGATATACAGTATGTGATATTATTGGGCTAAGTGATCTTCTTTGGGGAAAGATTCAGTAAAGGGGAAACAAGGAAAGTGAGGTTATGAAATAGTCATGCCTGTATTATTCAAGAAAGTAAACAAAAACCAGAGAAAGGAATTATTAAGTGATGATGCATCAGTAAATAAAACAGAATCCAGCCAGGCGTGGAGGCACACACCTGTAATCCCAGCCCTCTGGGAGCCTGAGAGAGAAAGACTGAAAGTTCAAGCCCAACCTCAGCAACTTAGCAACAACTGTTCCAGACCCTGTTGTCAAAGAAAAGGGGAGAAGGGTGCTAGAGAGGTAGCTCGTCGCAAAGGCTCTATGTTCTCCAATACTGTACCAAACAAACAAACAAACAAAGGAATAATATGCAGCCTTAAAAAAAAAACACTTAGCCGGGCGTGGTGGCGCATGCCTGTAATCCCAGCACTCGGGAAGCTGAGGCAGGAGGATCGTTGGGAGTTCAAGGCCAGCCTGGGCTACAAAGTGAGTTCAAGGCCAGCCTGAACTGCACAGTGAGACCCTGTCTCAAAATGACCAAAAAAAAAAAAAAAAAAATCACACTTATATGACTTCCATGCATGTAGCTAGAATATTAAAATAAAAACAAAAAAAGTATGCACTTCTCCAGTTTGGTTATGTGGGTGGGGTGGGTGGGTAGAAAAGACAATGACCTTTTTGCCTGGTGAGACTAGAACCTAGAACTGGTATTTGCAGATTCTGCACTCTGGGCCCCTCCCCAGAGTCCATTAGCAGCTGGAGCCTGTTCTGGGACCCCTGCCCTTCATCTTGTTACCAGTGGTTAGGACAAGATCAGCAACTGCTACTGACCAAGATTCTGGTACTTGTGCGTTTCCAGATTTCAGTAATGTCTCCTCTACTTCCCAGTCCCACCCACTATCCAACCAGGAAGCCCTATCCAACTAGGGAGCTCTATCCAACTAGGGAGCCCTATCCAACTAGAGAGCCCTATCCAACTAGGGAGCCCTATCAACAGCAACCTCATTTATTCTTCCACCCATTTGGTGAACACTTATTAAGGGCCAAAAATTCTTTTAAATGCTAGATAAAAGAAAAGAACTAAACAGATACAGTCCTTCTCTTCATCTTAGAGTCAGTTACTATAAATAAATTTGCCAGGCTGTTCACACCTCCATTCTGTCATCACACTGGCTTCCAGCTGTGTTTCAGGAGCAGAGCTAATTATTGTCGAGGTTACTCAGGATAGTGTTTTAATTCTCACAGTGCACACGACGCCTTTCAGGGTCGCCCCTGCTTACCTTCCAGCTGCAGCTCCGGGCACTTAAGATCCTGCACGCATGGACGGTTTCAGGCCGGCCGCCTTTCTTCAGCGCGGAATCTCCCTTCTTCCCCAAACGCTCTGCCACCCGCAGGCTCCATCCATCCAATACCCGCGAGCCCACGTGGCGGCACTGAGGGGCCCAGGGCCTTTACCCCTGCAGAAGCGCTTCCCGCCATCCCTCCGGCTGCTTGGAAGTACGGCATCCCGTACCGTGGAGCACGGCACCTGTCACCCAGTCCTGTAGCCCCGTATCGGACACAGACTGCGGTCCCGGTCAGCTCTCCACCCCAGCACCCCAGCATCGTCAGCTGGGTGAATGATCAAGAGTAAAAGCGTATTTCAAAACCGACAGCTTAGGGTCTCCCGGACGCCTGCACTTCCGGGTGGCCGTTGGGTGGCTCAGTGGGGCGTAAGGAAAGGAGAAGGGGCGCCTCCATAGGGACAGTTCTAGGAAGTGGGCTCGGTGGTCTGGAGGACCTGGAGGTACGCCACACAAAGTGAGGCTTTGGCGTCTGCGCACTAGCCGCTCTCCGCGAGGAAGCGGGACCTAGAGGAGCATGGGGCGGAGCGTGAGGACCACACTGGCCACTTAGCGCCCTCGATCCGCCGAGGGGCTGGGCTCGGCTTGACTGGGAGGTGGGGAAGAGGGAGTAACTGGTCAGATTTTCAAAGTGGTCCTTGATTTCAGGAAGAGGGGAACAGGAACCAAGAAAAATAAAGAAGTTTTTTTTTTTTTCTTTTCTTTTTTCTCCCCTTCCTCCCTCCCTTTATGTTTGCTGTAGGCAAAGATTAAGTGCAGCAACATGCTTGATTTTGTTTCTTCCAGCCTTCTCTGAATCTTCACTGTAGGCAGTGAAATGCCTTAAGCTTCCATTCAGTGCCCTCCACCCAAGCCATTCAGCTCAGAAGTTAAACCAACACACTGCAGCATGAAGGAGGGAATATTCCAATTCATATAGAGGTGTTTTTGTTTTGTTTTTTTTTTTGACGGCTACATGTTTGTAGTACGTGATTATTTTCTATATGTGGAGCTGGCACATGCAAGTGACACTTAATGGAGTTTATTCTTTTTCTTTTTGGTACCGGGAATCGAACTCAGGACCTTGTGCTTGCCAGGCAGGAGCTTGTACCGCTGAGCTATATTGCCGGCCCCTTTAATGGCGTTCAATTTCAACTCTGTTATAACAAGGTATTAGAGATAATAGGGCTGTTCTTTATCATTGCAATTAACATAATCTTATTTCCTTACAATTAAGTAAGCTTTTCTGCCTTATTCTTTTTCCATTTTGTTCGTTTTTGACCATGTGGGGTGTTCATTGTTATTTGTATACAGTACTGTATGACCTAACCTAACATGTCCCTAAGATGTTGTTCTGTGTAATCTTGGCTCTGCTTTTAGACTTCCTGTTTTTCTGTTTTTTTTCACTTCTTGGTTAACTTCCTGTTCTATTCATTTGGCTCTCCTATTTTTGGTCTGCCTTGTGACTTGGCGCCAGAAGAATGATTTAATGACAGATTATAAAAGCTAACCTGGTATGGTGGCACACACTTTTAATCCCAGAACTCTGGAAGGCTGAGGCAAGAGGACTGCAAATTTCAGGCCAGCCTGGGTGTTATGATTTGTGTCTAGATGTCTCCCCAAAACCTCATGCAGTCATGAGGTGGGCTTCTAGAGTTTGTGATTGATTCGTGGTCCAATGCTGGGATTATGGGTGTGAGTGCTACACCCACCCTGGGGCAGGCACGTAGCCTGCATACAATATAAGGGAGAGAAAGAGGCTTGCTTGCTGTGCTCCTCCCTTTTGGCTTTTGTTGTTTTTGCTATTTTCTGCCACCATGAAATGTTGCCCTCTGCCATGTGCTACTCTGCCTTGGAGCCATCTGAGTATTGACTGAAACCTCCACAAACTGTGAGCTAAATAAACTTTCTCTTTCTTAATTCTGGGCATCAGGTATTTTGTCCCAGCAACAAGAGAAAAGTAACCAAGACACTGGGCAACTTAGTGACTTAGGGAGACCTGTCTTGAAATTTAAAAAAAACGGTGTGTGAGGAGCTGGAAATGTAGCTCAGTGTGAAGGCCCTGGGTTCAATCCCTGGTACTGCCCCCCCACCAAATCGTACAAGCTCACTGTAAACAAACCTTGTGGTCAAGTGCAGATAAAGGGGTGCTTTCCTGGCTGGGGTGAGAAGTGACTGCCCTATTGGTACCCCGAAGACTATTTGATGGGAAATCGAATAGGTATCAGTAATGTTCCCTTTTATTTTCCACCTTTTCTAAAGTCCAACCAATTTATCAGTTTTTTAAACCAATTATAAGTATTAAGCTGCACAAGAGTCCAGATGTATTCACTCACTTATTCTCCTATTTCCTTAGCAAATTATTCATAGAAAAATGAGTCTAAAGTTGGCCTAGCTCAGCAAAGGACAACATTCTTGGTCTCTGTCTCCTTAAAGGTAGCAGTTATAATTGTTATTTGTAATGGTGTCTCTATTGTAAGCAGTGTGATCAAATATATGGTGAATGTTTAAGTTAAAAAATATATTACAGTAAAAGACACATTGCCATGAATTGCCCTGAATACTTTGTTTCTTCTTTCTTTCTTTCTCTCTTTCTTTATCTTCTTTCTTTCTTTCTTTCTTTCTTTCTTTCTTTCTTTCTTTCTTTCTTTTTCTTTCTTTCTTTCTTTCTTTCTTTCTTTCTTTCTTTCTTTCTTTCTTTCTTTCTTTTTCTTTCTTTCTTTCTTTCTTTCTTTCTTTCTTTCTTTCTTTCTCTCTCTCTCTCTCTCTGTCTCTCTGTCTCTATCTCTGTCTCTCTCTGTCTCTCTTTCTTTCTTTTGACAGGGTCTTGCTATGTATTTCAGGCTGTCCTTGAACTCACTATGTAGCCAGGCTAGCCTTGAATTTATGGGATCCTCCTCCCTCAGCCTCCCAAGTGCTGGAACTACAGGCTTGCACTACCATACCTGGCTTTTGCCACTTTCTGAAGCAGTTCTGAAAGTTCTCTTTACTGAATGTCTTTACAAGATGTGATTAAAAAAAATATGGTGAATGCTGCTGCTGAGTGCCATCAAATGGAAATGCAGGCTTAAAAAACATGTGTCCTTAGCTGGGAGTGGTGGTGCATGCCTGTAATCCCAGCACCTGGAAGCCTGAAGCAGGAGGATCACTGATAGTTTGAGGCCAGCTTTGGCTACAAAGTGAGTTCAAGACCAGCCTGAACTACATAGTGAAACCCTGTCTCAAAAAGACCAACACCCCCAACACCCGCAACCCCGTGTGTCTTCATCCACTTTATTCACCAGATATGGCACCATTTGACTTCTGGCTCTTCCTCAAAGTCAAAATGACCATGAAAGGGAAATGTTTTGAATCTGTTCAGGACACTGAGGAAGCCACAACAGCACAACCAAAGACATTTATGAAAGAGACTTCCAGAACTGCTCGACAATGTGGCAAGAATGATGGGATAAGTGTATTCAAAGTGAGGGGGAGGGTTTTGAGGGGAATTCATGGCAATGTGCCTTTTAGTGTAATAAATTTTTAAAAACTTAAACATTCACTGTCATACCTTGTACTTGATGGCTTCATACAGTTTTTTAATATTTAAATCTACTAGTAACTGTTCTTTGTGATGGCACATGCCTGTAATTTCAGCATTTAGGAAGTTGAGGCAGGAAGATTACTGTGAATTTGAGGCCAGCCTAAACTACATAGTGAGACCCTATCTCAAAAAAACAAAAATAATAGAAAAACTGTCCTGGTAACATTAAATTAACCATCCCCACTGTACTTACAATAATGAAAGAAAGCAAATCTTAGTGGCAGTTTTGCTTCTGAACCAGAACTGAAACAGTGATTGCAGTGAAGCAGACTTGTAGCAGCATCAGGACTGGCTTATAAGGATTTAGCTCCCCATAGTGTCCATTAGCTCCCCGACCAAGCACCTCAGATAGTTATAGTCTTACTAAAATCAGAATGCTTAGTATTCAGATCCAACATAATGGCTCTGAGCTCCAAGTTCCTAAGTATTTGAAACAGACAGTATTGATCAGTTCTTTCAAGGTCATCCTGAAGGAAACCCTCAGGAGATGCCATGAAGAAATAGGTCTGCAGAGCTGGGCATGGTGGTGCACACCTGTAATCCCAGCACTTGGCAGGCTGAGGCAAGAGGATCGTTTCGAGTTTGAGACCAACCTGGGCTACAAAGTGAGCTCGAGGCCAGCCTGAACTGCACAGTGAGACCCTGTCTCAAAAAAAGACAAAAAATAAAAATAAAAAATAAGGAATAGATCTGCAGTAAAACAAATTTACCTCCTGTCAGGCTGGAGTATAAAATTGACTGGATTTGGGATCCACCCTGGGGATTTAGTAAAGTACTCTTCTGGGTGTATCTGGGTGGGCCATGGAGGTATGACCTTGGGGTCTATGTCTGGTCCCACATCCCTTCTTCTCTGGTTCTGTTCCCTTGCTCTGCTTCCCAGCCACCATGAACTAAGCAGCCTTGTTCCACCATGCCTTTCCCGACAATGTTTCTGCCTTGGAGTCAGCTGACCATGGACTGAGTGCCTGAAACCATGAGCTAAATTAAATCTCTCCTCCTTTAAGTTGTGAGTGTGGGGCATTGTGTCTCAGTATAGCAGAAAATACCCCCACAGCCAGTCTGTTAGTTGCCCAGGTAACAGTTCCTGTTACAAGTTCCTGTTATTTCTGTCTCTTAGAAATACTTGGTCACTCTGATGCATAGCTGGTCACTAGTATGCATATTGTAAAAACCAATCAAAGACAGCCAAGTACTCTGCCTCTGTATTTCCATTTTCAGCTTCATAAAATCCTCCCTCCCTGGGCCTTCAGGGCCTAATGTTTTAGGAATGATCCTGTATCAGGTTAAATAACCACTAGTTATTGTGGGCTGATCAGGCCCACAATCTCCCAAGCGAGTGGGCAGTGAAGGCTTAAATAAATGAGACAACTGAAATGAGTTCAGGGCTCCAGGAGGGTCCCAATCTCTTAAGAATTTGAGATTCTCTGGGTTTAGACAAAGACTTCTCTGGGCATCCTGTATTTATTTGGTTTACAAACAGAGGAGGGGGATACTTAAGAAAATGTGGGAATCTGAGCAGGACCTTGACAGAATTTTCCCAAGTAGTCAATTATGTCAATCAGAACTACCTTATCTTTAGGTTGGTATTTACTGTAGGAGTGTGGAGCCTGCAGCTATAGTCTCTTTTTAGTTAATTGGGGTTGGAGCCAGAGGTCTTCGGCTGTGGTCTTACCTTGTCCTTAGAGGTATCACAGCTTCACAGGCCAATGCAGGCCTCAGGGGGACCAGTGACTCACAGAGGTTTACTTACTATGAGTCCACTGCCCATACGCTGACAAGGTGCCTAAGCTTCGACAACTCACAAAAAAACATGGAAAGCCAACTGGTTAATATTAAAACCCTCTCAGAGCCACTTTGTAGTGGTCTCCATCAATCCTGATCAGTGCTCATCCACATAAAATACATCTGCCTCAAATCCTGGGTGTTGTTTCAGTGTTTCTGCTTGCTGTTACATCTGGTGTGTAGTGGGACTTGGTGGTCTCTCAGTGGTCCTCAGGAGAAAATGGTGAGAGGACTTAGAAAATAAAGACAAGAGACAATAGCCGGGGTCAAGTGGAGTTACCTCTTGCCTGATGAGCAAGAGGACTGACTTCAACAGGAGGGGTGTTTATTTATACCCTGGAGAGGTTGGTTAATTTCTGCCTCCCTGCCCAGCAATCAGTTAACAAGTTGCAACTGCTTGTTTATGTGCTTCAAGAAGCTCCTGTGTTCTCTGGCTGGCTTCATCCTGCATGTGTAAGCGGCTGCCAACAGTGTGTCAGCAGGGAAGACCAACCATGTTGACCTCTTTGGTCACCAGTCATGGCCCTCATGGGTGGACCTCTCCAGGTCCTGATGGGAAGGTGCATCCTCAAGGTATCTTGAGGGCTGGGGATTTAGCTCAGCAGCACAGCACCTGCCTGGCAAGTGCAAGATCGTGAGTTTGATCCCCGGTACCAGAAAAAAAAAAAAATCAAGGTATTTCAAGTCCCCTCAGAGGTCTGGAGGAAGATTCTTGGCTCCCCAATGAGTGGCTCACGTGGGACCCAAAAGGGAAGAGAATGCAGTCTGGTCTGGTCATCAGATAAAGTAAGATCCTCAGGGGCACCCTAGTTAGTCTGTCTATCACTCCCGGTCAACTCAAGCAGAAGGGGAGTCTGATCAACTCTGGTTAGTAAAGGCCACCCTTGAGGGAAGGGAGTTGGAATGTTTAACCTCTGAGTGCCTGTTGAATGAACGTTTGAGTGGAACAGACAGTGTAAGTAAAAGGGGGTTCCATCTGTGCACCAAAACTGAGAAGCGCTGGTCTTGGTGGCTGATTGGGCCCTCACCTGCAGTTCTGTGGCAGTCAACATATCACATAACAGAAGCCTCGCACCTTCCTTAGCTAAGTTGTGCCTAAGTCCCTGACAGGGGCATGGCCAGGCAGGCATCTGAATGGTCTCTCTCTGAGGGGCACCCACCCTTTGTCTGTTGAGTCACCGTTCAAAGATACACAACACACATGTAGAG